GAGCACCGGGATACAAACACGGGCACGGGACACAGACACGGACACCGGGATACGGACACGAGCACCGGGATACAAACACGGGCACGGGACACGGACACGGACACCGGGATACGGACACGGGATACGGGCACGGGACACGGGCACGGGCACCGGGATACAGGCACGGACACGGACACCGGGATACGGACACGGGTACAGACACCGGGACACGGACACGGGATACGGGCATGGGACACAGACACGGGCACCGGGATACAGGCACGGACACGGACACCGGGAGAACGGAGCCTTTATTGCGCTATAGCGGCCCCGCCAGCCGGTCCAGCTGCCGCGGGTTGGAGCCGCTGAGGAACCGCAGCTCCGCCTTGCCGTCCTCCGTGTGCGCTGCGAGAGAGAAACCAGAGCTGGAGGGGCTGGGCAGGGAGGAGGGAACCGAGCCCGGTGCCGCCTCCGCCCGCACCGACCTTTCTCGTGCTGCAGCCACCTGCGCTCCAGGTAGTAGCCGTAGCAGCTCTCGAACTCCCTGGGGCTGTAGTTGGGGACAGCGATGGGCACAAAGGGGTCCAAGGCATCGAAGCCCTCCTGGGAAGGGAGGCCAGGCACGGTCAGTGGTGGGGCTGGGTGGGGACACGGCCCAGGGGGAGCTCATCATGGAGTCATGGAATAGCCAGGGTTGAAGGGGACCCATACAGATCACCCAGTCCAGCTCCTGGCCCTGGAGACACTCCAAAATCCCGGCACCCCAAAATCCCGGCACCCCAAAATCCCACCCTGTGCCTGGGAGTGGTGTCCAAGTGCTCCTGGAGCTCTGGCAGCCCTGGGGCTGTACCCGTGCCCTGGGCAGTGCCAGCACCCTCTGGGAGAAGAGCCTTTTCCTGCCCCTTTTCCTGCTCCTTTTCCTGCTTTTTCCTGCTCCTTTTCCTGCTCCTTTCCTGCTCCTTTTCCTGCTTTTTCCTGCTCCTTTTCCTGCTTTTTCCTGCTCCTTTCCTGCCGTCCAGCCCAGCCCTCCCTGACACAGCTCCAGCGTTCCTTGGGTCCTGTCCTGCTCACAGAAATCAGAGCTGCCCCTCCCGAGGAGCTGCAGATCCCTGAGCTCTCCCTTCAGGCTCCTCTTTCCCACCTGGACAGAAATGCCCTCCGATGCTCCTCATCCTCCAGGCCCTTCCCAGACCGTGGTGCCCAAAGTGCCCCAGGCAGGGCAGTCCTGCCTTGCCCTGTGCCTGGCACACCCCAGGACACTTGTGGCTCCCCTGGCACTCAGGGCACTGCTGACCCAAAGCTGTGTGTGATCCCCAGAGCGCCTGAGCAGTGTCCCCTTGAACAGAACCGAGCACCAACCAATTTTTTTTGTTTCTTTCCCAATGTGAAGAGGGGGAAAAAACCCAGAAGAGGCCGTGGCTCACCTTTCCCAGCAGCTCCTGGGGAGTGTAGGCTGAGCTGGGCTTGAAGAGCGAGCCAGTCTGGCTCAGGGTGGTCACAATGGCACCTCCACTCTGGAAGCAGAGCAGAAATAAAAATCCTGTCAGCTGCAAACCCAGTGCTGCTTTAGGATCAATCTCTGAGGCATCTTTTTATTGCAGGATGGAGCTGCTGCAGCAAGGGTTCCACGATGGAGCCCCTCTGCTGAGCTGGGGGTGCTCACCTGGAGGGGAGAAGGCTCCAGGGAGAGCTCAGAGCCCTGCCAGGGCCTGAAGGGGCTCCAGGAGAGCTGGAGAGGGACTGGGGACAGGGCATGGAGGGACAGGACACAGGGAATGGCTGCCACTGCCAGAGGGCAGGGCTGGATGGGATATTGGGAATTGGGAATTCCTGGCTGGGAGGGTGGTAATTGCTGGCAGAGACAGAGGCAAAGGCAGAGGCTGGAACTCACCCAGTCGTTCATCAGCATCTTCCTCAGGTTGTGCACCAGCGTCAGCTCCTCGGGAGAAACCTGGTGGAGATTGTCTGCATCACTATTTCATTGCCAGCAGCTTCCATCTGAGACACAAGCTCCCCTCCCCTCCTTCCAGCTGGGCTGGCAGGATCATTCCCATCCTCCAGGAATGTTTTATTCTTTGCTTTCCCTTCGCCCTGCAAGCCTGAGTCACGCTGCACTGAGCAGCACCCAGCCCTGCCTCTCCAACCCCCACTGCATTCTGCCTCAGGCAGAGACAGGAGAAACTCAGGAGAACTGTCTGAAGCACAACGTGAACCTCTCAGGCTCCTCCAAAGCCTGAACATTTTCAGGGATTGCCACAGAATTAAAAGTGAACCACAGAGCCTCCCTGCTCTCCCTGCAGCAGGAGTCAGGGCTGTGCCCAGGGCAGAGCTCTGGGGGAAAGAGCCTCAGGATTTTAGCTTTTATAATTTTTATATATTTTAAAATAT